CCCAGCTTCTCCTTTTTTTTTGCCTTAAAGTGCACCAGTACTCTGTTTTTCTGTCACTCTGCAGCTGACTCACTGCACTTTTCCCCAAATGACAAACCCTTGACGTAAACATAATAAACACAGTAAACATTGACATTTCATAGACTCATACTCACTTCTCTTTTCTGGTTTGGTCCTTTTAGGGCACTGTAAAGTGTTCCAAGCTAAGATACCGGGACAGATGAGCATCTAGTTAGTGTCAGCGTTGCTAATTGATGAGAAGCAAAAGCCACTTGTTTTATTATAAAAGTACATTCTAAAAATTGACTCTAAAGCAAAAAGCTCTTGCAGACATGAACTGCTTTCCATTAATCTGGCAGCATGTGGACACACCGGCTTCACGTCTGCTCACGTTTCCTCACAAGTCACGACAACCTGACTAGATATGTAACCGTATCACTGTCAACATGGCATGAGTGCTGCATGCAGCCACATTGAGACACGACATACCAGAGAGCAAAAAAGTAAAAGTAGTAATCCAGGTTCTGAATGTTAACATGCCAGTCTGTTGCCTCCAGCTGTTTGCAGGAGACTTTCCTCTGAGTTTATTAAAGACCATCAGACAGCAGCAGGATGAATGTGGCGTCTCCAGAGAACAACAGCATCTTCAGCATCAATGCCGTCACGGTAACCGACTGATGAAGCAGCAGTGTTGCACATCTCTGGTCTGAAAAGGCCTTAATAAGCACATTTCTGCATTTTTACTGCAACTGTATGAATGTTTTACTGAATATCGGAGTAGTTTCTCAATACTTTAACTGAGATCCCTCATTGCAGACTCGGTTTCACTTCCAATCTTACTTATTTTTGTCTGTCTCATCTCCTGGTAGTGATTGGGGTGGGGGTGGGGGGTTCTTGATTAGAACACACACTGCCAGGTCCCCCCCACTTTGCATCATTGCATTTGATTAGCCTTCTCACTACCAGCACAACAGGAAGCACAACACACACAGAACACGCACATGCACAGATATGCGTGCATGACAACACAAACTCACTTCAGACTTATCTCGACTCCACGGCTGCGTCTACACGTGCACTGGCATATATGAATCCCAACACACACACACACACATCTGGACTGCTGCTGGTGCTGTGGTGGCAGCGCATCAAGTAAAGCCAGCACGGCGCTGACAGCTCCCTGTCCCTAATGAAGCATTAATAAACTGCAGCACAAAACAGTGGATCAGAGAGCGGCAGAGCTCCCCACCTGCCTGGCTGTCTGCTGGCTGCCAGGGGGAAAGATGAGAGGGGGAGAGGATCACTGTAATCCCCATTCTCCAAACCCCTCTGCCCCACTTTTCTGGGAGCAGTCACCCCCTATCAGCTGCTCTTCAGCGTCGTGCTGAAGGTTCAGTTTTCATGTCAGAGTAATACTCAATAAAGAGACGCTGCACTCTGTAATTAAACTACCGACACTTCTGCACCAAACTACACAGCCAGCGGTGCAAATGTTTCCCTCCACAGTTGTCATATATTCTCCTCGGCATGCATTTTGACTTTTAATGTGGGGTTTGGAGCTTTTTTTTTTTGCAGAAGAAAACGTGTGCTCCAAACATTTTGAGGTTTAGGCTCGTCCACACAAAAGCACAATTCTCCAGAGCTTCAGTTCAAAAAGACTGGACATTTAAAGTCTACACTCAGAAAAGAAGAAATGCCAACTGGAACCAAGAACGTTTCGGCCACAAAAGAGGTTCTTTAAAAAGCTATTTCAGAGAAGAGTTAATTAAAGAATCTCCATAGGTGCCTCAAAGAAGCATCGAAATGGTTCCTCCAGGCCCATAAATGGCTTCACCCGATACGGTGGAAACTCTTTTAAAAAATAAGCGATTGTTTGAACATTTTAATCAAATTATTATACACACGAACATAGTTGTTGGCCATTTATTAACATTTCTGTCTACTTCAATCAGTTAGCGAGAAGTAAGGTATGAAATACGGTATCTTCAGAGTAGGAGACTTCCAGTGAGCAAATCTAAATCCGTCACCCAGACCCTGCTCACCAAACTACCAGAGAGCCTCTGAAGAACCGTTAAATAAAACGTTATTCTTTTTAGAGCAGCTGTAAACAGTGTAGTGACGTCTAGTCTCCAGAACTCTCTATTTTCATTCTTGTCGCTAAACTGAAGTCAAAAAAGCTTTGAGATGAGCTGCAGTATTTGGCTGATTTATGTCCTTTTTCTTGTCTCTTTATCTTCACTTTGCATTTGACATTTATGTCGGCAAGTCTTCAGTCTGAACGCAAACACCTTAAAGTAAGCAGTGCTGATCTGTTCCTGCAGCAGTTTATCACAACCACAGCTTATCACATTAAGCACACAGGTAGTCCGGTCGCAATGTGTCCCTTAACCAGCAGACAATACCAGAATGTGCGTCCAATCAGCTGCTGCAAGCTCATGATCAGACTGGAACCAGAGGAACTGTTCAGTGAGAAGAGCCCCTAAAACTCAGGACTGACAGGAAGGAGTCCAAAGTGTTTTCAAAGGAGGTGGATTTTAGAAAAGTGCACCAACTAATCTAAATAACTCAAAGTTTAGCCTCCATTAGAAGTCAGTTTCAGCATTTGTGTAAATATATAAAGAAATCTTCTTTTAATTGGGCCCCATAGTGTCAGTGTTTCTTTGGGGCGTCTCTCCTGCCTCATCAGAAGCTACAGATGTCGTCTCTCTCTGAGTTTGTGCTGGAATGCTGCTGCTTCTCTGTCACTTGCTGTATTCATCTCTGTCTGTCCATGTCCTGATCTGTTTTTCTCTTTATCCTTGCAGTCTAAACTTTGCTGAGCTTTACTCCGGCGAGGGAGACGGCTCTAATTGGCAGCGAGGATCATTCTAATGTAGCGAAGCCAGCTCTGTGTTTTCTCCTCATTTTGCCACTTTTTACATGATAATGAGAAAATATAAGCAAGAAATCCCTAAAGTTTGCTGTGGAGATCATGTTCTCTCCCTCTGTCTGGGTTTTTTTTTCCTCATTGGTGCTTGTTACACCGATCACATTCGCCCAGGCAATTTGCCTGCTTGTCTGAGTCTGAGGAAGGAGGCTTATCTGCACTAACGCCCCATCGAAGCCGGGCTTCGTATCCAAATCAGCCCCTGTTAGCATTCAAATCAAGAGCCCCACCTCCTCTTCCTATTCTACCTCGCTCTCGTGGCCCTTCCTATCACTCCCGCCCCTCGCTGCCTGTCAACATGCTGGCTTTGCTGGCAGGAGGGGAACGCTGGGGAGAGAGAGAGAGAAAGCCCAGGCTATTATTTAATGAGATCAAGAAGTGCGAGGAGGATGCTGTTCACTGTCTCAAAGCAAACAGGGGCCCTCCTTACAGCAGAGGAGGATCACTGGGTGTCTCACTCATCTTCCTCCTCGGTAGCGGTGACGGCCACCTTCGCCTTAACAACCGCCGTGTTGCAGAAACAGTCAGGATGCAGCTTCCATACAGCAGCGGGGCTTTGGATGTATGCTTTATCTGTTAGCGTGCACTCTGGTTCAGCATACTAAAACTATTCTGTGAATGCGTAGGGAATGTAAGCTGTGTTTGTGATTTACCACGACCCTCTACCTGCTCTGACACATATAACAAGATCATTACTGCAGCCCCGTGTCCCACAGTCACCGGTGTCTCAGAGTTCATGTGCAGGATTGGTCCAAGCATCACAGTCGCCGTCTGGTCCACACGGCTGCTGTTGAAATGCCATCAGCGGCTCACAGAGACGTCTGATTTCCAGTAATGACTTCTGATTTCAGTCATTTTACAGCCTCAGTCTCCCTCAGTCGCAGCTCTAATCCGGTACCTCATTTTGAAGTATATTAGGTCTAGAGTCAGTTTCAAAGTTCCTGCTGCAATACGGCACAAATATACAATGAAAAGAGTGTTCGCTAACGAGTCTAACTCACCTCAAACCTCAAAAGAACTTGACAGGAGAGAGAAAAAAAAAAAAAAAAAGAAAAGGGGGGGAAAATGTGTCATGAAGATGAGGAAAGCAAGGTAGGGGGATATCCTTTGATCAAGAGCACTCCCCGTAGCACTCCTGTCTCCTCACACATCCATAATATATTTTCCTGCACACATCCAGTCTCTTAATAACAAGCCGATGCCATTTCATTCTGGAGGCAGGTATTAAATTTAAAAAAAGGTGAATTTGAAACACATGTGGCTATTGTCATCTGTTCAAAATGAGGAGAGGTGAAAATAAATAAATAAAAAAAAGCAAAATGCACAGCAAAGACTTTGTGATCCAATATGTACACTCCCCCCCTTTAAATTAAATTCATTGATGTTGGTTGTAAACCAAAGGGGGACGATATCAGACGTGGTTAAATATTTATTTTAAAAGTGACAGGCTTCGGAAATGAGAGGCCTGCCGACGTCGTGGGAGAGCGCAGCCATAAATATGCATCGGGCTGTGAGATTGTAATCTCATAGCTTCCTTTTGTTGAGCATATGAGGCCCAAGAACTGCCCTCATTGGTGGCAAACAGGCAAAATGAAGAGTTGCACCTTCTGATATCATTGGAATAAGTCACCCTGTGGTAGTGACACGCTGTTTAATTCGGGTGGAGCCAAGTCCCCAGAGGGGGTACCCTCCACCCTCCACCCTCCTGATCTCATTTGTGTAAAGGTAAATATTCACTGGGTCACTTTTCACCACTGGACGATTAAAGCACGCTTGAGCATCGCAACAGTGAATCTGCTGCAAAGCTTCTGATTCAGTTCACGCTGCTCTTGTTTGTATGAGTAGACAGCTGTGTCAGTGCATCACAGCCCAGAGGTGTCAAGTAGTTCTTCAAAACCAGAATAACTGCACCGGCCTCTAAAAGTGCACCAGCAGCCACTTAGATGGGGTGGCCTGTCATCCACGATGCACTCGAGCGTACAGTAGTTGTGTGAGTGTGCTGGCACGCTGACAGATGTACAGTCCTCTGCTTCTGACTAAACCCTGTTGTCATGTGTTGTGTGTCTGTCTGCAGCTCTGAAGGACCCCTGCACCGAGGTGACCTGCAGCTACGGCAGCACCTGTGTCCAGTCTTCAGACGGCTTGTCGGCTAAATGCATGTGCCCCCTCGGCTGTGAGGGGAAGCCTGAGCAGACAGTGTGTGGCAGTGATGGAAAGGACTACCCCAATGAGTGTGAGCTCCATCAGCACGCCTGCAAGAACCAGAAGAACATCCGCGTGCAGTACCAAGGACACTGCGGTGAGTACTCTGCTCGTTTCCTTTAGGATTTTTGTTTTTTATCAGTTGAGCAATAACCCCAAAACCCCCCCCGTTGGGTCTGACAGACATCTTGTCTTTAGAAAAAAATCACCAAAGTGACTTCATTTATCAGCGCCAGAAACTGAAATAATTGTTAGATCTTCCGTTTTTTTAGTCGCCATTGATCCTAATCGTGTGTGATGTATCTTTCCGTCTGCGACATTAATCACATCTAAGTTTAACGTTGTGATATTTCTTTAAAATGACTTTATTCTATATTTAATTGCATTATAAATGTGTCATATATCCACAGAATACAGAAGTTTAACTCAGGCCAGGCTTGTGTGCAGGGCTTCGTACTGCAGGGGGAATAGTGACTAATAGTGACACGTGCCCATCAGTCAGATACCGACTTCACATTTGTCTGATTAGCACAAAACCTTGTGGTTTTTGTAATGGTGTAATCAGAGAGGAAATTTTAGATTGTGGAAATGCTTAATAAAAGACTTCCTCCTCTTCTTTCCTTTGTTTACTAGCCCTGCTCTGTTGTCTCCACACATCCACTTAGGGCACACCTCTGCTAATTCTCATTTTTCACTCAGGTAGCTTTGCATTGCTCAGGTACTCCTGCGGTTTGACTTGTTGTGTTCTCCACGCATGTCTTCAGAACTGTCATCTTTGTCTGGGTTTTTTTTTTTTTGTGATTCCTTGTTATCATCAGGCAGTAGTTGTTTACTCCCAAGGCGCTCAACTTTTGAGTTCTTTTTTTGTTTTGTGGCAAGCCAGATGGAGGGAAAGCAGCAGACACTAACTCTCTTTCTTAGCAACAGGAGCCTGCAGGAGACAGAGTAGAGTGGTGGGCAATGAGAGATGGATGCGTAGATCCACAGGCAGAAGGTTGATCGTATAAATTCAGCACGAGTCAGCCGACGTGACCTGAGCTGCCCTGTGCTCCTTAGGGAGGGCCAAGGCTCAGGGGACCAGTCGGCCCTGATGCTCCTCTAAATCTTCCTAAAGCCATTTCATCTCAAGCCTTGGCTATTTCAAGTTGCTAGCCCTCGCCAGACAAATGCAGTTGATTTATTTGCGCTGCTAGTTTTTGCAGCAAACAGGCCATTCTTCTCGTAATTACCCTACTTGCTCAGCTAGAGAAAAGCATGGATCCTGGAAGCTGTTCTTCTCAGTTAATGGGAGGTAATGGTCTCTCTCTCAGATAATGGTCTGGCTGGCGGCTGAGGCACTGCGTCATGCAGAGACACTGCATGCATTACGATAAAACCCCTGTTTGCTCGGTTGCTAGTCTCTGCAAGCCTTTGCATTGTGCTGATAGAAAACAATCCGAGGCCTGGCTAGCGGTCACTCCGCCTCCCGGCCCTCTGCATCCAAACCGCCCTGCTCCTTTTTGTGTCCCAGCATTGTCACTGGTTGTATCGCTGCCAGAGGTCTTTGGAAACCATTTCCCCATATTCTCTATTTCTCATTCTCTTTCTACTCCTTTCCTGATGATAGGGTGTTTCATCCTTGGTGTGTTTTGAATGACTCGCCGGCAGCTTGGCAGTGATTTAATATGTCACGGTGCTACATAAATCCTTTGTCTTCCCACATGCTGAAAGCGTGGCGAGCAGGATAAAGCCTGGGCTCCCGTTTCAAGGAGCAACACCCCCATCCCACACATCCACAAACCAATTCCATTATGATCACGGGCTGATAGGGCCGAGCATGCCAGACCAGCGCTCCCCTGGAATGAGGGGAGGTGCAAGGGAGCAATACAAACCGATTGTCTCTTCATCTGTTTCCTTGTCTCCCTTTCACATCCGAGGTCCCACTCTGAGCTGCTCTCAGGGCCTCTGATAACATCTGTGAGACAGATCTCCTCCTCTCCTCTCCTCTCCTCTCCTCTCCTTATCTCCTCTCCTTATCTCCTCTCCTTATCTCCTCTCCTCTCCTAGGCTGATTATGTCTAACATGAGCTGATAACAGATTCACCAAATATCCGGGTAAACACATAATACACATATGGTTGTTTACTATTGATAAAGCCGGCTTACAGAACACAGGCAACAGGGCGTCAGAAGTTTTCTTGGAGAGGAGTTTAACAGTTAAATAAGCCAGGACACATCACAGTCTGTTCTGGTTTTTCTTGGTCAGAGATGTTTTTGATAATAAATCCCCCTCGAGTCTAATTCATAAAAAAAACTATTTGTTTTTCTGTCGTTTCCCACATCAGACTGTGTTACATGCCGTTCTCTGTTGCAGCATACATTGATGACTGTTGGTGTTTCCACAGACCCCTGTAAAGACAGTGAAAACAGCCTGAACATCGTGTGCCGGGTGGAGGCTCTCACCCGCCAGCCCCTCATCTTTGGCCCGCCGGACTCTTGCCCCCCAGAAGATGAGCCTCTGTGTGCCAGCGACGGCCAGACCTACCCCAGCGAGTGCGTCATGACGGCGACAGGCATCCAGAAAGGCATCAAGCTCAAGAAGATACACGCGGGACAGTGCAGAAGGCTGGGTAGGACAACCTTGTTGGTCTCTAGAGAGGACTGGAAGTCATGCATAAACATTAGTTGTAGAGAGTTCTGGTGAAAAACAAGCTGAACCAGGATCACGCTAAGGATTTAAAACTCTTTACATGCAGAGCTAAGAAACCGTTTGTCGAGTGTGACTGACAAATTAGTCATTTATTGTTCTTACTTTTTGTTCTA